GGGTTTAGGGTGTAGGGTTTAGGTGTGAGGTTGTAAGTTAATTAGGACGTTTAAGGGTTCCTGGTCTTGTGTTCTACTGTGCCCTACTCTATTGGAGTAGGGCTGTAGGGTTTGAGGGTGTAGCTTGGACTTGAGGATGTTGAGATTTCGGAGGCTGGGTGTTGAGAATTCGTGGGTTTGGGCTTTAGGATTTTAGGATTTGGGTTAGCACTCTGAGGGCTTCGGGTTGAGATGCTAGAGCTTAGGGTTGCTTAGGGTCCTACGTAAGGATTATCTGTGGAGTTTTTATCAGGGGGGGATGGTTGAAGCTGGGAGGGTACTAGGATCCTTGAGAACCTTGGGGAAGCTTTAGGTAGCACGACAGTCTGAGTATAGAAGACGTCTGGCTCGGTGTCGCTGTCGGTGTCGGAGTGTGTTAGTGTGAAGTGCGAGACCACAGTACATCAAAACCCTAAACCCTAAACCCCAATCATTCCGGTATCGTGAGCCGATCATGGGCTGTGAGATGATGCAGACCGGCACCGATGACCCAAAAGAGTGTCACAGGTTCGGCCTGCCTGTCACTGGTCCATGCACTGATACTCTCTTACAGATGGTGTCACACGCCTGTTTCTGTCTACACTACATCCTCGGCCGCCCTATCCCAGGTCTCTGTTCCGCAGCATTACACACAGCTCCAAGGTGTGTTCATGCATATTTTTAGACTGACACTCTTTTCGATAGAGTGTCATAAACCCTAAGTCCGAAACCCTAAGCAGTAAACTCTAAACCCTAAACCCTAAAGCCTGTCTGCTCGTTACGGTCGGCTGACACTATTTATTCACGTTTCAGGCGGTCCGACATTGGGTTTAGGGATTTTTAGGGGTTAAGGGTTTAGGGTTTTAGGAGTTAGGGTTTTAGGGTTTAGGGTCTAGGGGGTAGGAGGCCAGCCTGCGTGAGGGAGAGGTAGCGACTACCGGGTGATACACCACCCATGGAGCTCGCCTCCCCGTAAACACACTGTTGGGGTTTTGGGTGCTTTGTCATTCGGCGCCCAGTGTAGACCATAAACAGCCCTAAACCGCACCCGTCCAAAATCCCAAACTGCGCGGCTAGTGGATATTTAATATGAATAGGCATGGTACTCTTACCCTAAAAGCTCTATACCCGAGACCCCTAAACCCTAAACCGTAAGCCCAACACCCTAAACCCAAACCCATAAACCCTAGTACTAAAGCCCCAAATCCCTAAACCCCGGAAAATCCTAAGCCGGTTGGGTGACTACAGGTTGCAACCTAAGGAAGCATCTTCTGACGTATGGGCCCGTTTTATCTGGTTTAGGGTTTAGGCGGATGCCGCTATACACCCTGACAAGCCCATTATGAATCCCTTAAAAAGCCCGGTTTACGCTTCTCCAACACGGACTCTACACCCTAAGCCCTACACGCGGTAATCCGGATATGGCCCTTACAAGAGAATTCTTATGAAACCCTCGCAGAACCCTTATCGAGAGCGTTGGAAAGCTTATAGACCTGGCAGAACCTAGGTTGAACCTTTATAGAACTGTGATCATTATACCCAAGAGAACCCTATGAGAAGCCTCTGCCTAGAACCCGCTGAGGGTTTAGAGTTTAGGGGTACCTCAAAACTTTCCGCACCCAACGAAAGTGGCAGCGTCTTGGGAGGTGTTGGCATGCCCGGACAAGGCAGAGGCTGGGAGGGAAGCCCTGCATTTTTGTTTAGCAATATCAATCGGTGCAGCGGCTTGTTGTATCAGGATTCTTCAAGAAATTCTAAGGGTTATTACGCACGGAGGCTTAATTGTATGAGGTTTACAAGGGTTTGTGAAAGGGATTTCTCAGGGTTTCAGCTGGGCTTCAGAAAGTTTAGTTAGGGTTTACTTGAGTGGTGAAGCGTTTGGCTGGATGTAGCGCCAAGGATTTCGGTTCGGGGGCATCTGGGTTTTCGGGTGAGCCGTCTACAGGGGTTTCAGATTCAACGTCTAGGGTTCAGGGGTTCGGGGGTACATTGTGCAGCGTACGCTTTTCGGAGGG